ATATATATATATATATATATATTACATTTTATGTGTGAAAAATTAAAAAAAAACGTTCTTTGTACTCATTTTCTTTCAGAAATAAAGTTGTTGTTTTTTATCTATATATAAAATATTTCAATTTTTGTGTTTGATAATTTATCTTACCGGTGCTTCTTCAGATAAATTAGTCCCCTCCAAACAAAATTTTGGTTTTGTATATAAATATATGTAAAATAGTGAATCTTTGATTTTCTGAAAAATTAAATTATTTTACATCTTTTCTGGAGTGTTTGTGTGGAGTATACGAATAGCCACAAACTCACGAGTTACATAGTGGCGTCATCTGTCCGCATAAGAAACAATTAAAACAGTGACTAAGTTATAACATCAATATATATATATACATATAAGCCAAGTGTGTCGGTCGATCAATCAGTCGGTAACGCTCGATTTCTCCAAATTTCGTGAGTTACACGAGTCCAATTCCACTTTTTCTCCTACAATACTTCCTCTTTTGGGGCCCGGCATGGCCAGGTGGTTAAGGCACTCGACTCGCAATCTGAGGTTCGAATCCCCGTCACGCCAAACATGTTCGCCCTTTCAGCCGCGGGGGCGTTATAATGTGATGGTCAATCCCACTATTCGTTGGTAAAAGAGTAGCCCAAGAGTTGGCGGTGGGTGGTGATGACTAGCTGCCTTCCCTCTAGTCTACACTGCTAAATTAGGGACGGCTAGCGCAGATAGCCCTCGTGTAGCTTTGCGCGAAATTCAAAACAAACAAACAAACAAACTTCCTCTTTTAATTGTCCGTTCCAATTTTAGTTGATTTAATCACTAAGAGAGGCGTAAATAGCTCGTAAATGTCGGCACTTTTTCTACTATATAAAACCTTGTCAAGGAGGGTGTTCCCTGGACTAGATTGGGCATGGTGTGTGACACAACATCATCCACATCATTATGACGTCAATTTAGATAGGATCCGAATAGGAAAGCCGGAAAGATATGGAAGTGCATTCGCACCCTATCAACGCCTGTGAAAAATAAGTAAAAAATTAGCGCAAATCTATGCTTGGGAATTATTACGAAAAAGCCTTTGTTAAAACAGATTGAAGATACCAATTATCTGTAAGGAAGAGGAAGACTTTTCGTCAGAAGAAGAACAGGTTTGTATGCAATCACATGGTCTTATCGTATGTTGTAATCTTTTATCCAAAGGCACCAACACGTAGCATGTTTGCTCAGTTATATATAGTGGATTCAGGAGCAATATGTAACATGTTCCTGGTGAAGGAAATTTTATATTTATTTATTTTGTATGTTGTCAGTTTTATACGGAATAGCTTTGGTTACCAGTGGATTCCCGTCATTTTTGACGGGCTTTTATGCTAGTAATACTTATAAAAGCAGATACTCTGTTTGAAACAGTGTCACCTCAGTCAAAGTGGTTGACACCATTGTTTTGGTTTTTGAATTATCATATAATAAAAAAAGAAGCAGAAGAAAGAAGAACAAGAAATTCAAACTTTTTGCTGTGATATTTACACATTCCCAGAACTTGTGACTCAGTCATTACATAGATATTGTTATAAAAGGAAACACTGTATAGTATTGTAAAGTTCTGATGACCTATTGAGGAAATATTTAAAATGTCATTTAAATTAACAATCGGAGCCATCCCTACATAGACAGTGCTGCTACCTGTCGGATTATAAGGAAAATGTCCACCTAAAAAAGAAAATAAATTTATCGCTTAGATTGGATTATTAAAAGTGTATTTAAAAATAGTATTTTATGTCAAATACGTTCGATAATGTAATTATGTGGTGATATACCAATGGAACTTTTTGTGAGTGTATAACGACCAAATGAAAAAAGTGACAAATTAGTACTAAATGCTACAGTATAATATTCATGGACGTATTCCTGAAGAGGGAAGAAGGATTAGGGTTCATATATGTGCCTTAACACCTTAATATTAATATAGCATATGTCAGCAAACACCCAAAACCGTAAAGGAGAGAGGAAGAGGCCTTGATAGAACCTGACCCTCACAGATCGTGAACAACAACGACCACACGCCGACAAACGTTCATAAGACATATTCAGCGAGCACCACTAACACGCAGGTTATATCGCATAAATCTGTCCGTGACCTTAATAAATAAGTGAGAAAAAAATCATCCGAATATTATATTTTTTATATAAATTAGGTTTATTAAATAACTTCATAAAAGAAAAAAAAACTAACTAACTAGACAGAGTCTGTAATAAATAAAAGCTCACTTTTTCCATTGGCATAAGCATCCTTGATTTATCTGATATTATATAAACAACTGAATAAAATAATATAAACTTGGATAAAATATAATAAAGAATACATTGACACGTCTAAATGACAACTTTTTCTAATTTATTTCTACCACGTTTCGACAGAATAAAATACTGTTGTTTTACGTTCAAATATAAAATAATGAAAGTTAAATTTTACTTGAAAGTAAAAAAAAAAAAAACACCAAATAAAAATTAATAAGAATATTAACTTGAACCAAATTGTAATGTATAAAAGAATAAAACTTATTAAGCCTAAGTTTTCAGGCTGATAACAGCCCTTCTTAAGAATAAGGGCCATTAACAAACAAATAAATAAGGTGTAACATCACACACAAGGCCCGGCATGGCCAGGTGGATAAGGCGCTCGACTCACAATCTTAGGGTCGCGGGTTCGAATCC